CAGTGATAGTCGGCGGGCCTCAAACAGTGCAGGCATATTCTAAAATAGATAACACATTTGTTTTATACAACAGCTCCCGGGTGACTTCAAAAAAGTTACGCGTATTTCTGCGAAGAAAACCCAAAGATATTGAAGCCTTTGTCACAGTATAATCAACATGTCGACTCTAATGTAATGAAGATGTAAAGAAAACACCTAAATAACTAAACTCAGAAACCACTTTTATAGTGATATTGTTTATTTTATAACGAAATTCGCTTACTATTTTTCTGCTGGAAAATATCATGCATACCGTTTTATCCAAACTCAGATTCATCCGCCATTTTTCAAAACACGTTTGTATTGTATCTAATTCTTTTTGAAGGATAAGATTATCAAATTCACAATTAACTTCCCTATATAATATGCAACCATCTGCAAATATTCTCACGTGTGATGTGACGAACTCCGAGATATTGTTGATATAAAGTAAGAAGGATAAAGGTCCCAAAACCGACCCTTGCGGAACCCCGGATGCCACATCAGAGTTACCCGATTTCGTGTCAACTACTACCACGTACTGACATCTTGCGCGTAGGCATTCGGAAACCAAGGAGATAACACGAGGGCTGATATTATACCACCACATTTTTTCAACTATAATAACGCGTGAGGCACCACCAGCGCTTCAGCTATATTGTCAGAAAATTTGGGTTTTTTTTTAGATATTTATATTTTTATATTTTTGCTACTCACGCAGGTTTTGTGCGGTGCTGCATCATCGAAGTTGCTTGTCGGAGATGACAGCACTGAATCCCAAGTATGTCCACCAGGCGGCAGGGTGTCCAAGTGCGACCACGAGCATCGGTTTTCGATATGCGCCACCGCTGATTTTGGCCGATGTCCCTTACTGGCCTACGAACACTGGCACAGTATCGACGCCATCGAGGGGAACCAAGGTATATTGGGGAAGCACGAGCTGCAAAAGGCGGCGACTGAAAGTGTCCAGCTTGGGCGTGGAGCCGGCACCACGATGTCAGTGTCGCTCACGCAATTTCTGCTACTTACGCAGGTTAGTGAATTGTTTACTTGTAAAACGTTTACTGTTTTTATCTTGCCGGTTCTACCCCAAGTGCTGCATAACAATGTCAAGTCTCAGTCGCTTGTGAAGTACCATGCACGTCATCACTTTTCCTTGTTTCTGCGGCTTGCGTTTTATTTATTTTATTGCTTCTACTGTGTGGCGACGTTCAATTAGACCCAGGTCCTGATAACGAGCCGACTCCTCATATGATTTTGGACGGGCAACTGGGGATTAATGCACAATTAGATGACATCGAAATAAAACAAGTAGCGCAACGGGTATACCCTTCAAGGTTTAAAAACGCGTATTGTATCCTAAGAAAGGAAGGTTGCAAGACTTCCGAAGTTGGAGGCGGCCGTGACAGAGTGTAGGAATAGCTGCGACAGCCAACAGCGTGCAATGCAGTCCCTTCTGTAAAAGGTTGGTAATCTTGAAAATCGCAGTAGAAGATGTACTCTTGTGTTTTACGATATAAAAGATGAGAAAGCAAATGAATCATGGGCGGTGTCGGAACAACTAGTTAAAGGACTATGCGAAACAAAGCTCAATATTAAGCCTACAACCGTTGAAAGAGCTCATAGGATTGGGAAATTTAGTCTAGACGAAACAAGACCTTTCATTGCGAACTTCTGGTCGCTTAAAGAAAAACAGTCAATTCTGGGAAACGCAGATAAGTTTAAAGGTTTCAGTATCAATGTATCAGAAAATTTTTTTGAAGAGGTACGTAGAAAAAGACATTATCTATGAGAGTCAGTTTGCCAAGAGTTGCAAGGATGACGATACGCGGGTTAACCTCAGGCACGACGTTCTTTATCTGAATGATACCAAATACATTTATGACGATGACATCAATCGGTTAGTGCGTATGCTGACTCGCCCACTGCAGTCTCGTTCCGTGTTATTAACTGTCGTAGCGACAAAAATGAATTGACGATTTTTCTTCCCTCGTTGATATAGTTAAACCGTCGGTTGTTATAGGCATAAAACCATGGCTAATTAATGACGTAATAGACCGCGAAGTATTTCCTGATCACTTTGCTTGCTACAGAATAGACAGAGATAGTCATGGTGCCGGTGTGTTTATTTCAGTGAACCAGGGGATTTCTTTGAGCAAGATTGAGGTTGAACAAGGATTGTGCGAAGCTGTATGGATGTCGGTTGAGACTTCGAGATGGTCAAACTTTATCAGTTTCCTTTTTTTTACCGGCCGCCAGCAAGTCCAGTTGTTGTACTAGCTGAGCTCACAGTTGCGGTTGAAACAATTAAATCTGATAGCATTGCCATAGGTGGTGATTTCTAATTGCCCGACCTTAACTCGCATCAACCAAGCACATACTCTGGTGCAACTCGTGGGCTCACTGCAGTAATGTGAAATTTTATCAACACTGTTCTCGTTGACTCACACAGTGCTAGAGCCCACTCGAAGGGACCACATACTAGACCTTTTCCTCACAAACGAACAGGATTTGGTGCAAACTACTTTAGTAATTCCGGGAATCAGCGATCACAATGCTGTCCTTTGTGAAATGAAATTGGATTTGGATCGCGGAAAAAAATGTATAATGACAGCAGTCGACGCATATTTAATAACTAGAAAGCTAATATTACCTGAAAAACGCTGGACTAGATGCATATTTTGCTCTTTTTGAAACGCTTGCTGACTCATGTTTTATGGCTGAATTATGGAAACTTTTCAAGACGAAAGCTTTGGAATTGCAAAGGAGCACAACGGCAACGCGCGCGTTGCATTATGGGACGTTTCTCAACGAGAACGTGCGCGTTGCATTATGGGACGTTTCCGCTAAAGTTAGTGGGGAAATTTCCACGCTAAATTTAACGGAAAAATTTTCCCGCTCAATTTAACGGAAAATTTTTTATGTGTTGGCATTTATTGCGTTGGTGCATGCAGCCGCCTCTGCATTGAACTGGCTTGGACTGGACCGTCGATTGGACTGGCTTTGTGAAACTGCGGCGCGGATCTCGTGACGCTCTTTCGCTTCGTTGGTTCGCTCGTTGCGTCCGCTTTCCCTCTTACATAAGGGGAAAAGAGTCTTCACGCACGCTTCCAGTGAACCGCCGCTGCTAACGCGCACTCCTTTTCCGATGGCACGGGGTCGAAGGCACGTAGGTTCCTTTCCCCTGTATGCACAACGTACGCGAAAATGTAAAGCCGAGACGCAGCGACGACGCCGTTTGCGCATAACCGCCAACACCAGTGGAAAAGATTGGCTTGCTCACTTGTTGTGCTTGTGCGATGGAGAAGAGGGGTTTTGGTATTGCTCAAAAAAGCAAAAAAAAAAAAAAAAAAAAACGCTGCGAGGTTGGAATTTTTATTTCTCGCAGAATTTGAACCCCTGCGCTAAATGCTAACAAACTTCGTCGAGACTCGGAGTAGCAACAACAGCGACTTCACATCTTTCTTTAGTACAGCTTTTGGTTATTTTGTGTTTTCTAAGATCTCGCCAGGGTTTGTAGGTCTGTGATATTTCAAGCACATTTTTGGGCACCAATGAGTTAACTCTTATTGAAAATTTACTTTACAGCCCTCTAAGTTCTTGTAAATGTCTCCGCCTCCGTATGTCACTGCACCCAATCGGAAAAGGCGAAGCATAAGGAGGCTCTGATGAAAGGGGTGGGCGAAAGTATGTTCGCGTAGTAATAGTTTTTGTTAATTATGTACATGGGCTCCGTGTTAACGTTTCGTTTTGTTCATTTCTTAGGGTGGGAGGTCTCATTTTACACAAAATCGAAGTTTGTCGTTATTTTTTTTTCGGAGTCGGACAACAGATGAACGTTTACGGGTACTTATACGGCATAAAAAGTTTCATGGACATGGGATTTCCTAACTTTCAAGGAGCATACCCGTGACCTCAATAGTTCAAAGACCACCAGGTACAAATAAGAGAATTGAATACGGTACAAGAGGCGTTGTTCCGAAGAAGAAACAAAGAGCAACATGGCGTACAAATTAGTGGGGTCTATGTTCTGACTCTTAAATCAACGAAAAAAAAACGTGTTTCTGTCCCTTTGAGGAAAACGTTTTTTTTTTTTTTTTTCCCACATTTTAAAGCTTTTTTTTTGTTTTGTTTTTTCAATAGCAGTTTTAACTTTTCGTTTTTTTTTTCGTTTTTATTTTTTTTATTTTATGAAACCCGTGTGGGCTAATTTTGAAGGTTTATCGGTTTTTACTAAAAACGCCTATCGCTGTAGTTACGAGGCACCACTCTGATGCATAGGGGACGTGGAAACAACGCGGAATTTGTTCGTGAAACTGACGCACTCTCTTCGGAGTAACAGCCGGTACTGACGACATAACAACGGTGACAAAACAACGCACTGAGAGATGTCTCGTTTTGTCCGTGCCTGTTTTTATGCCTTCTGGAACATTCTAAATCACGAAGACAGAAGCATGAACCTAATACACAACGTCCCAGTTTTTTTTTAAACTCTCGGTGACTTCATTGGCCTGGTAATCCCGAGAAAGACAGATATTGTAGAGCTCCGCGTAAAATTGCGATGGAATGTACCGAGGCCCTTGTTAGGTCGGCGAGCTCCGATATCGCCAACTCGTGGAAGGATTATTTTATCTGTACCGGATCAGCGTCAGGTCTTTGTCGCCCTACTAGGGCAACGAGCGGTCGGTTATCTCATAGCCGCACTTCTCTCTACAGCCTATAGTTCATTTTTAGATAGCATTAGAAACGGTGGAAGTTACGAACCCGGTGAGCCAATAAGGGCTTAGGAGCTTATGACCACTCACCCCCGGAGTTTCATCGACAATCTTATCGGCTCACTGGCACCAAAGCGTTTACCTATTGAAAAATTATGCTGACTTAGATACTAGTCTCCTAATGAGACGTTGACCTCCTTGACGCTACTTGTGAAAAAATAGAGATATACCAGCGGGAGGTGGAAGACAGATTATCCAGCAACTACAAAAGGGAACGCTGTGGTCTCCGGGCAGTATTGATCACGTACTCCACGCAAGATGCGACTGGGTCTCTCCCTTGCCGTTGCGTTGCTGGGGACCTTACACCTGACCTCGTCCGCCTCAAGTGGTATATTGACACCCAGTGCCTTCGCTGTGCAACATGACCTTCCTGCGGAGGTTCCTAACGCATCAGCCGTCGAACGTAAAAACGTTTCTTCGTCGGGAAGTCAGAAATGTGGAATGTCGAAGGTAATAGTCAACGAAACGACCATGATCACCATCCAAAAGACCGTAGAAACGAAGACCATCACTGACCAGAAGTGTTGCTGCCCCGAAGATGTAAGTCTACAATGTAAAGGTTGCCCCGACGGTGGAGCAAAAGAGGAAGCTCCTGTTACAGTACCTCCGCCTGCTACGAAACCTGGCACGTCAACGACGCCTCAGACACCAACTTTATCAACAACGCAGGCACCAACAGTTCCATCCACGCGTTTTACGACCCCAACTACAGAGCCCCCAACTTCACCAACAACAAAGGCACCAATAGTTCAAACTAACCGTCCTACGGCCACCACTGTAACGCGCCCAACTTCACCAACCACCCAGGCGCCAACAGTTCCAAGCACACGTCCTACGACCGCAACTACAGAGCCCTCAACTTCACCAACCACCCAGGCGCCAACAGTTCCAAGCACACGTCCTACGACCGCAAGTACAGAGCCCTCAACTTCATCAACCACCCAGGCGCCAACAGTTCCAAGCACACGTCCTACGACCGCAACTACAGAGCCCTCAACTTCACCAACCACCCAGGCGCCAACAGTTCCAAGCACACGTCCTACGACCGCAAGTACAGAGCCCTCAACTTCATCAACCACCCAGGCGCCAACAGTTCCAAGCACACGTCCTACGACCGCAACTACAGAGCCCTCAACTTCATCAACAACCCAGGCTTCAACAGCTCCAACCACACGTCCTATGACCACAGCTACAAAACCCCCAACTTCGCCAACAACCCAGGCATCAGCAGTTCAAACCACACGTCCTACGACTACCACTCCAAAGCCTGAGGTATCGGCAACAACCCAGACAGCAAAAGGCGCCGAACTCCGGCCGCAACCTTCCGGTTCGCCCACTAAGACGTGCAGCATCGACAATTGCAAGCCTCCCAAGTGCACATGCATGAGCGAGAAACCTCCGGGAGGACTCAGCGTAGGGGACATGCCTCAGTTCGTGATGCTGACCTTCGACGACGCTGTCACGAAGCAAAACATGCAGTTCTACCGGGAGCTTCTCGGGGGTCTCAAGCGCAAGAACAAGGCCAGTGGTTGCGGCATCGCGGCAACTTTTTTTCTCTCGGCCGAGTATCTTGACTACCCGTCCGTGAACGAGCTATACAGGGGTGGCAACGAAATTGCTCTCCATTCCATCAGGTAAGGTGGTTCTTCCGTTCGTACTCTTCAGCAAAAAAAAAAAAAAATACGGGGAAAAAAACATGCGGAACGACATACGTTACAACCTAAAAAATTAAAAAAAAAACTAATTGCGTGTTTTTTTTTTGTTTATTTATTTTTTTTTCGGGGGGGGGGGGGGGGCACGAAAAACGAAACAATTGTTTTTTAGAATATCAGATCGGGTCCCCAAGAATGCAGTGGTCACACAGAAAGTGTGCATTTCAAGGACTAAAATGGCGACCATAGGAGAAGCTTAGCGTTTCTTTCATACGATCCAGTTACTTTAGTAGTAGCGAGCTTCATCGGAGCGCGCGCGAACAACACCGTGGAGCAAGCCGTTTGAACGCCTACACTGATGATGTCGCGCCCGTGTGTCTCTACATCCCTACGCCACGTAAGAGTCAATGCTGTCTAGATTGTCCCCAGGAGGGCAGTAAATATGCTTGACTATGTCGTCGCAACATCGTCGTTTGTGAAAGTTATCGCTGACAACAAAGTGACGTTTCACAACTTCGGGACGGAGATACTTCAGGCCAAGATATTTGCTTCGGGATTGAGGCGAAGATTGAATTTTGCGACATTTTGGAGCCGTGCGCGGTGTACGCTGCTTTAGAGCTCATCTTCCGCCGGAGTCGCCAAGTGGCGGTGTGGGTAGTGACGTTGGTAATGTTTGACAAATGAGGGGACGACGGGAGATGGTGAGAAAAAATTGGGGAAAGGGAAATAAAAAGGGCTACGACCAACAAACACACACACAAAATTGAGTGTCAGAAAGCGCCGTAGGATATATCTTCGGGAGAGAGACAGGAAAAGGGGGGGGGGGGGGGAAGGTTATGGTAGTGAAAAAAGGAGGTTTCCCCTTCCCTCGAATGTTTTATATATTTCTGTAATGTCTGTGTGATATTTAGGGTGCAATTCATATTAAAAATAGCGCAAGAAAGACGGAACAAAAAGACGAAAAAGAACACAGGACAAGCGCTAACTCTCAATCAGCCGTTAAGGAATCGAACTTGGCGCCAACACTCAGACTTGAGGATCTTGTTGAACGAGAAATTGGATGGTGCGTGTTCGGGAATCGACGGTGAATAGTCTGATTGTTTACAAAAGATGCTTGGAGTCATCGCGTTGTTAAAACAACACCGTCACTATTGACAACCGAACATTACTCTTATTTCCGTTGATGTATGCATAATTAATGCCACTTTGGCCAATCTTGGACAGACGACCTCACCGACATTTTGGTAGCCTACGTGGACACCCAATAGTCCCTTCTCAAAAAAAAGCAGTGCAAAATAATTTTATCACGCCGATGGGGGGACAGCTGCCCGGTGCCGAAATCCGCCCGTAGACAGACAGTGTTACCCCATTCACACGACCGTACAAGCACCTTCAGTTAAGGGGCCTTTATTCTCTGTGGCCAATCAATTAACTATCTTCCGCGCGCGGCCTGTGCTCGCGACCCAAGAGCGCTGGCTGATTCGGCGATAGCAAAGGGACCTATGTTCAATCTACCTTTTTGTTGACCGTCTGAATGGGGTATTACTCGGCTGGTTCTGACCACGGTGTAGTTCTGACCTAGCCGGGTTCCGAAAGAAAGGAAAAGAACGACATGGACGTTTTTCAGTAAATTCTGCTTCATCGGCGGGAATAAGAACGATATCAGGCTGTCAACTTTGACGGTGTTGATTTTAAGATGGAATTACCCCAAGCCTCCGCCGTGCCTTTTAGAGCCCATCAAACATGTTGGTCGGAGCTGATAATCTTTGTTGTGACGTCACACGTATGAACCATGGTTATGGTCGTCTCCGCGCTCTCTCTCGTGCTGCTCTTGATAATGTGGATGCTTGGGCTAGTTGGTAATTCATGCTTGGATGGAACAGCGCGGATGAACAGTCACACTCACAGGCACACAAGAAAGAAACAGACTCGCAGCGCTGACTTACAACTCAGTCCTATAGACGCTTTACACACGCGCCAAATTACAGCCGCCATTGCTGACCTTCTCTTGTCTCATCGAGATGCCGAGCAACTGAAACGGCAGTTGACGATCCTCTACAAAGGCCGACGCTTTAAAAAAGGACACAGCTGAATCTAATATGGCAATAACCTGGCCTGCTATGGTAATGATGAAGTGAAATAAACGAAATAAGAGGAAGCAAAAACTGAAGGTCAGTTATGGCGGCGTCCATGCACAGCTGCTGCAAAGCGTCTATATTTCTTCTTCCTGAAGTCTTCAACTTCTTCGCCTTCGCCGTTAATGACAACAATTTAATGTGCTGCTCTTGTTTGGCGCTTAGAAATTGAGTGGTAGAAATGTTTCGCCCTTCAATGAGAAACGTCACGAAGATAAACGGATCGGCGGGTTTGTGAGAAAAGAAAACTTTGCGGTGTTCTTTCGGCCACTTCTCCTGTTTCGTCAAAGCGCAAAGAATCTTTGTGTTCCACGAGTTTAGCGACCCTGTAGTTGCTACAGCTCAAGAAACACAGGGGGTGGTTATCTTATGCTCACTTCTGTTGCTTTGCGATTGGTGCTTGGGTGTTCTTGTCAGCCAATGCTTCAATCTTATTGGCTGCGAAACTGTCATCGGCACTCGCCTAGCACGCCTTTCTGGAGTTTTCATGGACTATTTAGAAGTGAACGACAACCACGTCGATTGTCGTTGGCGCAAATAACGCTCATTACGTGTTTCTTTATGGCTCGGGTTCTGGAATCCTTTGCCCATTCATCGGTGAGCTTAGATCGATTAACTTGTTAGTTTATTTGGTTTAAATAACGTGAAGGATCGCGTAAATTTCTCAAATCGCTAAGTGATAAACCTTGCGTTACGTTTCGGGAGTGAAATTTTTGGAATTGGAATAGCTTTAGTGGTAGTGGAAAAGGTGTACTGTTTTTTAATCATTTCAATTTATTTATTTGTTGTCGCTTTGTTTGGCATATGTATCAGACACCATAGCGGATGGTAGAAGTAGAGGAGGGAACAGAAGGTAACGCGCCCTTTCACTGACGTAGTAGCTCCTGCAATGGTCGCTGAACACTTGAGAATCGCAGAGCGTCGCCTATACTATGTTTACGCTTTTTGCTGCGTGATGTGTTTCATTCCAACGGTGTTCTAATTTGCTAGATACGCTTCTCGGAGCTTCAACCTTTCACGGTCGTGATTTTTTTTTTTCCTCTTAAAGGTTTTTTGGGGGTCAGGTTTTCTTTTGCAAGGGATCTTAGCAACTAAAAAAAGCCAATATATGTCGTTGTCTTTTTTTTGTGGGAAAACGTACAGTGCTTGCACGCTGTTCAGGTTGAGATGCATCGCATGAAAATATTGATGGGGTTCCGGTTGTCGCCTTTCTTTCGTTCTGTTTCTCTTATGCGGCGCCACGCTTCCGCTACATTCTGGCGGTCCCTGATTCTGAACCGGAAGTACTTCACAGAGCTTCACCTTGGGCAGATGAGCTCTCGTCACCTGAATTCTGACCTGAGAAGCGTGGAAACGGTCTGAATCGCCGTACGTGTAGACGGCGACGATCGTCAAAGCCGGGTTCGGACTGTTTCTAGGTGGCGCAAGCTAGCGCCCGTTAAAAAAAAAAAAAAGGTACAGCCATTAACATCAATCTATCCATCCAACATAATGAGCGGTATTTAAGTGATGGAAACGAACGTTCTTCCCTCGAAAGTATTTATTTGATTCAACGACTGAACAATTAACTCGAACAAAAGAAAGCACCGGCGCGGTGCAATTTGCATCCTACTTGTGATTTTGACGACAGACGAAAAATGGATGCTTTATGTTTTGATTTTTAATTAAAGTCACCGACACCCTAAGGAACGTAAGGCGTCTCGAGCATCTCATTATAGCTCCACTGTCAATCGGATTGCGGCATTGGCCGATAAGAGTGCCGATGAACCGTTCACGAGTTGAGAAGCGCGGAGATGAGTAATAAGGCCCCGTCCTTCGTTTATTGAGTTTTCCGTGACCATAGAGAAGCAAATATAGATCGTGTACTTCGGAAACATACCGCCCCGAGGAGACCGAATCAGTCTCGCGTCGGTGATTATAAATGGTTGCCTGTTGAGCCTGGTCGACAGAAATAGATGATGCTCGTGCAAATTCGTTGACCGGCCGAGTAATTCGTTAAGGAAGTAACCGATTAATTAAGGGAATTTTTTTTTCGGCGACCAATGCATTATTTTTATTAATGAGTTGGTTGTTTCGTGATGTAAATAACGGGAAGAAGATAAAACATGAGGTATTTCGCCCAGATATCTTAATTAGACTTTTCGTGGTATTTGTATTCTAGTATTTTAGTTTTTGTGGTATTTCTATTATAGATTTTTAGTGCACCACAGTGGAGACTGAAAAGTTTTTGTGGGCACAGAAAACAAAAATAATAATAATAATAATAATAATAATATTATTATTATTATTATTATTATTATTATTATTACTATTATTATTATTCTATTATCCTTACCAGCACACTTTATATCCCAAGTTTATTTGAATCGTTTTGCATCCCTAACTTTGGCGCGTCGTAGTGGCAACCTTTGTCTAAAATATGGTTCGTTCGCTGTGAACATTTGGTGAAATTGTCACTGCGTATTAATCGTGGGGCCGATTTTAAAGAATGAGCAGTTCTTTTTTTCACGAAAAAAAAAAAAGTAGTAAAGAGAGAGAGAGAGCAAAAAGAAGTGAAGGATGTAGAGAGTTTGTGTCTCCATGACTCTAAATAGGTCTGCGCTAAGAAACATGCGCCTCCATGATATGTTCAAGGGCTCCGATCTTTCAATTAATTTTAATCATGTCTTTAGTTATGTTTTTAAGTAGACTCAATACACGGCGACACTGTCGTTTTATATGTGGGGCGTGTACGTACAGGGCGCTTCGGTGAACGGGCGGTATTCACCAAGCTCCCACTATTTTAGTAGAAAATTCGTGACAAGATGTTATCTACAGGGGCGCTTTTGACAGCCACACTTGAGAACACTCAAGCGTGCACCTTTACGCGTTTTTCAAGACCACCATTGCTCCAATCCTCTGGTGCGGTAATACGCTGGGCAGCAGGCTCCTCGCTGAGGCCCGAGGGGGCGAGCTGCTTACCCGCCTGTATCGACGGAAGTATGACAGCAACGTGACCGACAACCTGTGCAGTGGCGGAACCAAGGGGGGGGGGGGGGCGACGGGGGCGGCCGCCCCCCCCCCCCCCCCCCCCCCAAACAAAGTCGACCTCCCTTCCCCCCTTCTAGGAGGCCAATTTTTCATTGGTGGACTCCCCGATGCACAATAAAGAATGGAAGAATAGTATCCTTACAAATTTTCCGCCGCCCCCCCCCCCCCCCCGCCCAAAAATGGAGTTCTGGTTCCGCCCCTGCATCCTATGCAGTGCTTGTGGGGAAGTAGAAGAAACTATATACCACTTGGTTCTTAAGTGTCCGGTACTTGCACAGGCAGCAGACCTCAGCGCTCGCATTGACCAAGCCCTCGGGTTTACCAATGAGAACACGTATGTGCAGTTCTCGAAGCGGAGACTCGAGGCCTGGTGGGCAGTGCATTGTTGAAGCTCAACTAGTGGATACGCTCCGCTTTCTACCCTTTTTTTTCTGCGTGTCTATTTAGTAGACGCCCGAGTCAAAGGGAATCGCCGCATAAATACATACATACATAGAGACTTTGGTACCAGGCATGCAGCCTAAAAAGAGAGAAAAGGCCGGGGAAAAACGAGCAGGTTATTTTCGTCGATTAAAGCAGTATGTATTCCACCGAAGACGCCCTAGTGAACCCTTTCAAATCTTCGTCGAGCGATACTCGCGTCCGCCGTATTTTAGGCATCGCTTTGTGCGCAAAGCGTGCGACTGAATCCGAGTTCACGTCGAACGGTGACGCGGCACTCATGCCAAATATCTTTATAACCGACTACGCACCGAACGTTGACCAGCAGTCATGTCCAATACATACTTGGAGTGCATGCCCAAAGCACGGCGGCCTCAGAGCAGCTGCTGAAAGACGCGTGCATTTTTGAATAGTTTACACTTTCAAAGAACGACTGCAATAACGGTTTCGGTCGCGCACGCCTCAAGATAGAGGTCTAGAAAGTGCGTTTGGTAGCTTGAGCGGTAGAAACACGCTTTCAGAAATTCGCACCTCTGCCAAAGGCGTCGCTTTGGTGGGCCTTCCGTGATTGGCCAGGAGCTCGCTATGACGTCTTTAGCAGGATTTGTTCTTTTGTCGATGGGTATGAGGGTATTGTCGGGTCATAAACTTTGACGATGTTGAATAACACGCTTTTATTTATTTATTTATTAATTGAAATACCTTAAAGGTCCCATAAACAAGGATGCTACATAAAGAAGGAGGGGGAGGGGGCAAACATTTCGAAAGTAAAAAACAAACTAAAACAATACACTTGCCAGAGCAAAAAAGAAACATGAGCAATCAATGCAATTGAAGTAAAAACACAAATCAAGCAATAATCAAATCGAATCACACAAAGCCACTGAAGTCCTAAACAAGAAACGATCGAACACAAATCACATAATAACTAAATGACTAGAAATAAGACCTCGAAAGCGTTTCGGGTTAGATTCTGTGACAATGGAATTAGGGAGGTCATTCCAGTTTCTTCGCATCCATCATCGCACTTGTGGTTTGCGACTAATTCTAGGTCAACTGGATCACTACTAAGGTGAAGTTTTTTTGTTAGGTCATAGGCAAGAAACAAGGGAAGCCACCATGAAAAAAATTCCGCCGCTTAAATTGTACGGTCTTTGCTAATCTCAGAGTTTGTCAGTCATGTAAATCTGAGACAATTTTATCGTGATCCTGGAAATCAGTGGAACTAAATTCCCTTCTCCAAGCTGCAATAACTGTATGAAGCGAGAGCACCGTATCCCGCAAAATATAACAATCATTTCCTCTCCCTCTCGCCCTAAGCCACAATACAGATACATCTGGAAGCTACTGGAATGGGCTGGACACGGAGAAATGGGAGCGCGAGGTCGTCGACGAGAGGAAGATGGTAGCGAAGTACGCCAACGTTTCCGAAGACGACATCAGGGGTCTCCGGGGCCCTTTCTTCTTCACCGGGGGCGACGCAGGGTTCCGGATGCAACACCGTCACCTTGACTACGACTGCACGCTGATCCACAAGCGGGACGGCCCAGAAGACGCCCCGGTATTCCCATACACGCTCGACTACGGCTTCCAGAAGCCTTGCATGGTGAAGGAGTGTCCCAACGACAGCTATCCCGGCCTCTGGAGTGTTCCCCTAAACTATCTGTTTAGAAAATATAAGGAGGAAGGAGTCGACAAATATGGGCACTGTGCGATGGCGGACGCCTGTACACCGATACTGGAATCTTCGGAGGACACCTTCCAGTACCTAAGGTACGTGATAGAAATAAGTTCATTTTATTACCCCTTGCCCTCCCCGAGACGCCCAAAACAAGTAATGTGCAAACACGCAAAAAAAAAAAAATTCGTTCACTTCCGAATCGTTTTCTACATAGACTTCGTAAACTGTCACTCAGTTGTGCGTGTCTACACACACTAAAAGAGCACCGCTTTAACGGAGTAAATTAGCTATTCCCTGGTGGAACACCGTAAGGTTAGTACAGAGACACACTTAGGCTGCTGCTGAGCACCCTACAAACATGATGCATGCGATGTTACCAGCATCCGAGGTATATTGTTTTATGAGCAACAAGTTTCCAAGCAACAAGAACCAGGTGCTGTTCTCACATGTGCAGAAAAGGCAAATCTAGACGCAGTGAGCTTGATGAATTTATCAAAAGTGAAAAGCATCGGTACAGACAGGAACGAGTCGAGAGAGTCGAAGGAACTGTTTTCAAAGGGCGAACATCGTTTAAAAAAGGGTAACACTTCACCATACCCCCCCCCCCCTCTTTTGTTTTGCACACCTTTTCTTTAAAAAAATGAAGGGTGCTAATGCCACCGCAACCCATGCTACGAATAGAAAGGGTGTATCACTCAAAATAAAGGTGTTAAAAAGGTGTAACCGTTGATGTAAGTTTAGGGGGCAGCCTTTTTACACCCTTAAAGCCGCGGACACACTGCTTATACAGCAGACAAAAGGCAGTCAGCAGACACGTTCGAAGCATGCACACGCATGAGGTAAACATGCTTGGAGCGGAGAAAATACATCGTCATGCCTGCAGCGACATCGTGTCGTTTTGTAGGATGTCTGAGCAGTGCGACTGTAGCTTAAGAGTAAAAGTTTTGTGTGTATAGTTTCTGATTCGCCAGTGTGTGCACCGTCGACGCAGGGACAACTTCGAGAACTTCTACACTACGAATCGGGCGCCGCTTCCCGTCTTCCTCCACGAGGCGTGGCTCAGGGACGAGGAACGAAAGAAAGGCTACCTAAGATTCGTGGACTGGCTCCTGGAAAAAGAAGACGTGCACCTGGTCACCGTCTCCGAAGTGCTCGACTTCATGAGGGACCCCAGGCCCAGGAGCAGCTACGCCCAGCGCCGCTGCACCAAAGACCTGCCCGAGTCCACGTGTCCGAAGACGAGAAACTGTCATTTCCCAACGACGACGCGTGGAATGGAACGGTACATGAACGTCTGCGGAACGACCTGTCCCACCAACTACCCGTGGATCAACAATCCGGACGGCAATTAGCGCCACCAAGAACCTACCCCCCCTTTCCCCTACATCCCCCTTCCCTCATTTCGTGTTTATGGTCACTGGTATGCGCCCACTCATTGTCAATGCACAAGCGAATTTTGTCACAACAACTGTAGGCATTTAAAAAGTGCAGAAACCCATTTTTGGTAAAGAGAAGCGTCTGTGCATTTGTAACTCGACAGCCAGCGCTACTACAACGCGTAACGTCAGAACTCAATGCGAAGTTCAAGTTCGTCTGCTTCTTTTGCACGGACTGTGGTGACGTCAAAACGCCGATCCTTGATTGGCTCTGGTCGAAGGATAGTGGGCATACCTGAAGGCAAGCTGCCTTGACGTCTGCCCACTATCCTTCCATCAGAGCCAATCAGAAATCGGCGTTTTGATGTCACCACAACCCCTGCAAAAGAAGCAGACGAACTTCAACTCCGTATTGTCGCCAACGTCTTAAAAAACGCAAGGAGTGGCTAGGTACTACCTTCCCGCCTTGTTAAATGTAGGTACCTACGAATGGAACTCACTATCCACGAATCTTGTAAATAGATAAAATGTGTGTAGTTTTCTTGATAATTTTTTATCGAAAACTTAGGAGTGCTTTTACTCTTAAAATGCCACCGACTTGATTTTGCCTCAAAACTGATACTACATTAAAATAAATACAAATATTTATGGGAGTGGGCATGTTGACGCTGACTCGTGTCTGCCTCTAAGCCCTTGAATGAATCTAGAATATACGCTAATAATAGCCATCGTCTTCCCCAATGATTGAATTCGCTGCCGCGACAAATCCTTCGGGCCTGTACCAAACCGCGCTGCCCTATTTATGCTCAGTGTCCGTGAACGAACTAATAAGCGGGGATTGTTTTTATGTAACATCTCTGACAATTTAAGTATCGGCTTTCTAGAATTCCCTCTTTCTGTCGGATCGATATGATATACATGGACACACTGTGTATTATGCGTTTCCCTTGCACGGACCAACATTGCGATCATTATTTGGTGCAAGCATCAGATATCACGTTTTATGTTGAGTGCGGCTCTTTGATTATATGGCTCGTGTTCTTGATGTAAGATGTTCTTCTGCTGCCGAGTGTAATAAGGCAGCAGATGTGTTTCCGGGAAAATAAATAACTTATTTATATGTGTCAGGTTGTTTACAAATTGATTATAGCCGCGATAAGTAGGGGAGCATTGGGTGGTTTCGGTCTTTTCGCTGGATGTGGAAGGCATCTCACGCTGCGGGCGGTTACTTCAGCTATGTCACTCGATGCCTCATTGCGAATTGTGAGGTTTATCTTTCCCGCTCGGCACCAGCTAGAGTCAAGACTGGAACGCGCTCCCATGACGTTACGGTTAGAGGTGATCGAGTCAGGGCCGGGCACTGCGGTATCTGATGCGAAGGCGATGAATGAGCTTGAATATGCAGTTGTAAAATGGAAGCATTCATTGACACAGGCTAGTTTTTTTATCTGGGAGGTCATGAAAAAAAATGGGCTCGGAAACAAATCTCGATACACAGGAACCGGCCGGGAACCACGGAACAACGCCGAAAATCTACGTATCGCGAGTCGTCTTGCCTACGTATACAGCTACGAGTGTTGTTATTTTTTGTCGTCTTTTTAAACACAAGCATGTTTTATTAGCTAGAATGATAGCCATAGACAAAAAACTACGCTAGGGAAGTGTATAGTGGTAAATTATTAGGGCATGCAATTATTGAGGTGCAGAGTGAAAACATGGTGTGTATAATGATGCCTCGAGAAAGAAATGTTCGTTTTCAGAAAATTCCTTTCGTAGTTTAAATGAGTATATCACTCGGAAAGACGGATGTTTTACAAGCAGCCTATTCCCCTGAAACAGTAAGGCACTGAGGCAACGTGGAAAGACAGCTCATAGCAACAATGTAATGCATACAAAACCCAATGCTCACGGAAGATATTGCGTACGAAAACAATAACATATATTCAAGCAATGCTGTCTTATTTTTCATTTAACATCACGTAAAAGTTACTTTATTTGAGAGAATAGAAACGACCAAGGATGTAAGTTGAAAAATGTTTTCTATGTATTTTTTATATCTCTTCACCAACCTTCTTTATTCCAGTTAATCGAATTCCCTGCGCGCTTTTACTCATCGCGCACATTTAAACGCTTTTTTTTTTGTCATTTACCTTCCTACAAATAATTATGAGCCAAATTTCCATCTTCCACCTCAACACAAACATCGACAGGAGAACCGCAAACCCTTCTCGCGAGCCGTGCAATTCCGTCGAAAAACGGAGGTCTCCATAAAGACGAAGATACAGAAGCGGTAGTGATTATCTTCCGAAACCTATGCTTTTAATCCTACCATTCTGCTCGCGTGTCATCCCATACCGCAAATAAAAGGTAAAAAAGGTATTAGCTTTTCAAAGTATCTGTGATATCAAGCCACTACCATAGGTACATTTTGTCACAACCACCTCGACAACGGTCAAGTGATGCCTCTCAACATCTCTCGAGAGTCTCTGGACAAACATAATAGGACACAAAAGTCGTAGCACAAACAAACAAAACAATCTTAGATGAACATGCACACAGGACATTTATTTCTTAATTTGTTGTATTTTATAATTAAAATGTATAAACGGAAGAAGCAAGCCAGAATATGCTGCGTACAGCCTAAACCATTTTCGGAAGCCGACCTCACGTTGCATAACCGAAGACATCGTCATGGGCTCGCTGGTGGCTTTTATGTATCTCCGCTTCTTCTGTATCATCTCGACCTTCTTTGTAGACACTCGAATCTCACAAACACGCGAAAGGACGCCCAAACGAAAACGATTGAACATCGAGCCGAGGCGGGTGTACTTTTCGAGGCCATGGCGGCGACGGGACAACATCGGCCTCTGCTCATCGGGCGGTAGTTTCGTTTGTTCATTGTAATGATTATATGCCGGGTGTTTCATTTCAATTCGGACGCATTTATTACAATAAATTCGCAAAAGATGCACTAATACAGTTTGGGCAGCTGAGTTATACGGCCAGGGGGACATCATATAGGTGGCTAATCTTTGCGATAAGTCAGATAATTTACTAAACTTTCTAAATTAAATTTTTAATTAGTAAAAATATTTACATGATTTAAACTACAAACATACTGAGCATAATCGAAAACCACTACATTAGTCAATTTTAGAACGACTTGAAGCTCGTGGGAAACTCGAGGGCGAACTAAAATTACCACTGGTGCAGCAGGCGCAAAGCTAGCAGCGGCAAAACGCGGATTATTAGATTATCATCGCGTTCCGCCACTTCTAGCTTTGCGCCTGCTGCGCGAGTGGTCACTTTGGTGCGCCCCCGAGTTTCCGACGAGCTTTAAGTCGTACTAAAATCTTCTGACTGCGTAATGCGGATTCTTGGGCGAGTTGGTACTGAAACTTCGAGAACATGATAGCGCTTCAAGACAGGGACGAGAGTAAGAACGAGACAACACAATGCGCTAACTTCAACTCTTTAGTTCTCAGAAAAGCAAGAGAATAAATACTCTGCATCATCACGCCATTCAACCAATCTCATGACACGCCAATGCTTTAAAGAACTGTGTCTCCTTGTCATCCATCGATCGACGCCTCGCTGACACATCGATCCCAGTAGCTTTTTTACATTAGGTCTGCCTCTATGATTTCCCTTACCGTCTTATCTTTTTTTCCTAATTGCAGTGCACCACTTAAATTCAGGTTTGCACCCTCAGTCATGGCAGTGCATTGACAAATGACCGTCTTGCCGTCCGCTCATTTCTTAGTTGTGTTCTCGCAATCTATCATTTGGACATCTACCAGTTTGTCCCATGTACTTTTTACCGCACGTCAACGGGATCTGACAGACAACTCTTTCTGCACATTGAACAATCGGGCTGGGATGCTTTTTCTTACAGTCAAAGGGTAGTTTGCGGTAAGGGTCCGTCAGTATGCAAAACTTGGCAAGTTTCTCCGGTGCAGAAAAAAAAATCATACGAGCATTTACGCGGTTTGCTATCTTTTTGGGATTGTGTGCGGTTTTGTGCATGTAAGGCACAACCGCCCCTCCCTGTTTCTTTTGGGTCATATCTTGATCTGGACTCGCTACTACTCGTAGCTTCCTTAGAACCCTTTCAGCAACCGACACCAGGAGCGTTCCCGGAAAACCGGCATCCACCAAGCGTTCCGACTGCTCCTTCAGACCTGAAGGCACTGCATTATGACACAACCTTCTAATGGCGTTCACAAAGCACAATTTTACGATTTCTCTCTTAATGAGTGTGAAGGGCAACGTAGACGACAGCCACAAATCCAGAGGCGCGACATACGCGGGGTTTCGGTACAGTGGCTGTAGTTTCGGTTTCGTCTTTCTTTTCGCTCAGGAGGAATTTAAAGTGAGCGACGCGGCTGTGGCTCGAGCGAGAAGAAAGAGGAAGAGGGGACGCGCGAGGGCCGGGAAGAACGTCGGTCGGGCCACCTTTCAATCTGTACTGTAAATAGACGTTTCTTTTTATTTCTCTCTCACTTATGGAGTCCTTTCAGTCATTTTTTTAGACCATCAACATCCGCACACCATCGGCGTTCCCAGTCATCGGGTCCCTAACGCAATCTTAAGAAGATTTGACTTTATGTTGTACCACTCCTGCCAAAGCCTTGAAAAAGGCGAGCAGTATGAATAAATAAAAAAAAAAATAAAAAAACGAACCTTCACTGCCGCAGTCGACAGGATTGCGTCAGCGGGCCCCGCCGGCTGGAACGACTCAGCAGATTCAGCGGGCAGCGACTCCATTCAACAAGAAGAGAGGCGGCAAGTTCCTGGGCCTCGGCAGCCGTGCTTAACGAAGAAGCCTTGGATCGCCGAGACTTCGCGTCGACGCGGCTTCGAGAAGTGCTGCAGACCCACAGCCCTGCGAAGTGTCTACACGACTCGGACACCGTTATCGGGCCGGACTGTTCCGATCGACAGACTGCGGGTGCTTGCCATTGGGACTTGTCAACCTTCAAGGGTAAGGTGATTATTTTGACTGGTGCCCGCCATGGAGCTACGCAGTGGGGAACGGCTTAGGCCGGTTACTTCGTTGGATCGGGATGGAGCTAATGATAACGATGTCGACGAGCGAGGTGAACCGTCACCTCAGAGTAGACCAGCGGCGACCGTGGGGACGCACGAGGAAGGGGTCCGGGATGGCCGATCGAGTAGCTCACTTATTGAAAAAGAAATTGAGCTTGTTAGAGAAAAAGAACGGCTAGTGCGTCTAGAGCTTGAACTAGAGCGAGTTCGTGCGGAAAACAGACCCAGAACCGATGGAGGCGGCGCAGAACGCAACCTGAGGGAAGAGGTGCTTAGCTTTTCCAGGCTCATGAAGGGTGTGTTGACACAAATGCCGTCGTCCGAACTGCTCGTACCAAGCTGGTTCGACGGTGTCGAAAATGTCTTTGCGACATATGAGGTGCCTGGGCGCCTGAGGGGTTCGCTCGTGCGACCTTATTTTACGGAGCGCATGCGGGCGCTGGTGAATAGGCTGCCTGTCGGCGAAGCGAGTGATTACGGTGCGGTTAAGGAGCGAGTTCTCTTGGAACTCAAACTGTCGCCGGCTGAGTACAGGAGGCTTTTTCTCAAAGCCACTAGAATGGGGAAAGAATCCTGGACTCAGTTTGCGACACGGGTTGAGAGCTGCTTTGAGTATTATGCTCGAAGTCGCTCGATCGACTCTCTTGAGGACTTGCTAGCATTAATGGTTTCTGATCGCATTAGAGATTCCTTGCCCGTCGACATGCAGACCTATGTAACGCTAAATGAGACTGGAAAATGGCTCAAACCAGCAGAGGTGGCTGCGCTGGCTGACCGTTTTGAAGAGGGAGAACAATGTAAACAATGCAAAAATTCTGCATATTCGAAAAACCGCGCGTCTGAAAAGAAAAGCGGGTCCAGTCCTGTCGGGAAAAAGCATGAAAAGGTGGGGCTGGGCTCAATGTCAAACCAATACAAGGTGAAATGTTTCAATTGCAAGGGTATGGGACATTTTTCCCGTGACTGTCCTAGTAAACAAGCGCGGGACCGAGACTTGAAGAATAACTCCGTGGTGGGTTACATCTCAACAAATTTAACACCATCCCAACAGAGTATATCCCAGGACATAAATGTCAATCAGAATGGTACGCGTGCTGATTTGCGGAGAGCGGAGGTGAAATGCGGCCTGAGGATGGTGCAGGCGATTATCGATTCCGGAGCAGATGAGTGCCAACCCTCACGACTTGGCGCTCAACATCGAGTGCTACAAGATCGACTGGGACGCTGCGGGCAAGCTGAAACGGGGAACCCTCGAGACCATGTCCACCGAGCTGCTAGCGCGTGCCGAGCGTACCATGGCGTGGGCGCTGATGGTGGCCGGGCTGCGGCCGACAAACGTGGAGTCGGTGGAGCTAGTCGGGGGCGGTACCTGGGTGCCGGCGGTCAAGCAGCTGGTTTGCAAGGTGTTTCAACGGGAGCCCTCGACGACACTGCACCAGTACGAGGTGATGGACCGGGGCTGCGCCCTGCAGTGTGTCTTGCTGTCACCCATCTTCAAGATGCGAGACTTTGCGGCGGTGGACGCCCAGCTTTACTCCATCGAGATGTGCCACGACCCGGGCAAGGGATAGGACAACCGGGCAGAGATGTTTCCCCGCTGGTACCAGCTGCCCTTTAGCAAGATGCTCACCACCTACCGGAGCAAGCCCTTCAACCTCGAGGCCAAGTACCTGCAGGAGGCGGCGGTGACCCACGCGGACCTGCAGCCGGGCAGCTTCACGGTGAACAAGGTTATCTCCGCGGCCGGGGGCGAGGCGTTCAGGATCAAGGAGAAAGTGCGTCGCAACCTGCGGTACATCTTCTCGGTGGTGCCCGCCTCGGACCGCAAGCCCGACGGTCGACAGGCAAGTGCTGGGTGTGCAAACGATGGCTACCTAGCGGTGGCGGGGGCGGCGACTGGCGAAGGGGCACCCCCGACCCAGGGTGGAGACCCCAACAAAGTGGCCGAGGGCGAACCTGTCAAGAAGGAGGATTGGCCCAGCCCAAAAGAGAAGCAAGCCAAGGCCACAGAGCTCCCGGTTGGGGGCCGGGTGCCGCCTCTGAGAGCCTTCGAGATGGACCAGCTTGTAGAGCGCGAGGTCCACATGGTCCACACGGACCGCTTAAAGAAGGAGCGACTGCTTTGTCAAGCGATGATTTTTGGTTCGCCGCATGCGCGAACCGAAGTTTTGGTGTGTCTTTTTAAATGGATTGTATACTTTAAGTTGGTGAGATTTTTTGTGGTTGTTGGTATGACTGAACTGGCAGTTGCGGGTTTTGGGAAAATAGCCTGGTTTAGAGAGAGCATATGTTACGCATACGCATTCGCTAATTTTTTTTAAAAGCACGTTTCAGTCCATATGATGTAAGTCTTAAGGCACTTTTGATAGTAACGGGGTGTTTAGAGCCTTGGCGGGCACATTCAAAATCACCTTACCAGAGCGACCAGTGTATGACGGGCGGACATTTTTTTTTGTGTGTGATAATTTTGTGACATTGAGGCCCCAAAATTATACTTGTTGGGGAGGTGTGAAGGGCAACGTAGACGACAGCCACAAATCCAGAGGCGCGACATACGCGGGGTTTCGGTACAGTGGCTGTAGTTTCGGTTTCGTCTTTCTTTTCGCTCAGGATGAATTTAAAGTGAGCGACGCGGCTGTGGCTCGAGCGAGAAGGAAGAGGAAGAGGGGTCGCGCGAGGGCCGGGAAGAACGTCGGTCGGGCTACCTTTCAATCTGTACTGTAAATAGACCTTTCTTTTTATTTCTCTCTCACTTATGGAGTCCTTTCCGTCATTTTTTTAGACCATCAATATCCGCACACCATCGGCGTTCCCAGTCATCGGGTCCCTAACGTAATCCTAAGAAGAAAACGAACCTTCACTCCGAGTGTCGAATGGAAGGAATTGAACGGCAACAGGGGCTTATTTGCTCTCGGTTGATATCTCCAACATACATGTTGCTCCGAAAGGGTAAGCCTGATATTTAAAAACTGTATGACGTTTTCTGCAGGTACTCCGGGCGGAAGCTTGAGGGGATCTAGGACGTCACTAAAAACTGTTAAAAGTTTGTCCACCGCCGAGGGCGAGTGAGAAACGTCATGGTCAAGAAAAACTAAATAATCGTCAACAATCCTAAAAAACCTCCTACCATGAGTCAATCAGGCGTCTCGAGAAGACTCAATGGGCTAAATATATTCCCACTGCATTCTGAAAAACCACCCCCCCGTGTTCCGTGATTTCCTCTACGCAGGTCAGTAGTTTGCCATGCGGTACGGAATAGTATAAATATATTATATTGCCGTGCGTCCAGCTCACCAAGTAGGCAGTGCACTCGTGGGCTAACGGTTAACGCGCATGCTTTCCACGCTGAAAGCCAAGGTTGGATTTCTGGCCGCGGGAACGGATTTTTCTTGACTCTGAGGTGATATTTTGGTAAATTCGAGAACCGTGTTGGCTGATTCGAAGTTAGAATGTTCTACACGCCGAACCTTCTACGCCGATTGTTCCAGAAGCCCACGCGTGAACATAAGGGGCTCCGCGTGGCAAGCCGGAGTCAGTCTCACCCCGGCGTTCGATCTTGCTGTTTCGCCGCCATCGACGCCTGCGACGCTATCCTTTTTCTATTCTGTTTCGGGCACAAGTTCGCCCCATTAAACGTCTAGTTTGCTTAAGTTTCGTCGCCTCATCAAGTGTCACTCGTGACAATATCTAGTGAGCAGGCTAGGAAGCCTTTGTTCGCGTTTGTATTTAAAAAATCTATGACTTCATCTGATCTTTTGACCGAAAACAGATAGTCAATACAAATGGCTCCCAGTTTATCTTGCAGAAAGAATGCTATTGATTTTTGCCATATGCCACTCTCCCATTGTATAAAAATTCAAAAGCGCAAACACCAAGGAAAAGAAGAGGGGACAGGACAGAGCGCTTACTCCAACTGGAAGTTTAATGCATTCCCCGAGGAAGACATAAAAGAAGAATTAGGTATGTGAAGGTAAAAAAGAAGAAAAAAACTATTGTTATGGTTTATAGACGCATTAAAAAATTTTAAACTAAATCTTACCCCTTGACACTAGCGAAAAAATGTAATAAAAATTCAGAAATATAAACAGAACCAGTAGGGCAAAGAGGTTAGAAAACACTAAAATGACCCGCGTTAAGGAAAAAGGTCGAGGTATCTCATCTCTTTCTCGGACAGCGCTATAGATGGTGCGCTTATGCAAGCTCCCCCGAGAGACAATATGGTTTTCGCTTCATAGAGTTCTCGGGATCTTTTTCTATGGTAATGCTTGAGGATCTTAGTCTGTTGGAATATGGGTGTGCAGTGGCAGTCACGGACATGTATGGCGAGATGTCCCGATGGTGATGATTTCAGAGAAAGGTGATGCTCTCGACGTCTCACGTTCACACAGCGCCCAGATTGTCCGACGTAGACTTTTCCACATGTGAATGGAATTTCGTAGACTACGTTGATGTTGCAGTTGACGTACTTGTGCGTATGCTTGACGGTGCAGTTGTTGTTATTTTCGTTTTGCGAATTAATCTTAGGACACAATTTTTTTTAGTTTGTTTGGAGCTGAAAGTACCACTGGAACTTCATACTTTGAGCCTATCCGTTTGAAGTTGTGTGATATGTTGTGGAAGTAGGGTATCACTGCCGGTCGCGTTTTCTTGCAATTTCGTTGTCCTCTTCCCTTGGGAGTTGTCAGACATTCTGCTACATCAAACAATAATGAATTGGTGTATCCAGAATCCTGCAGCCTCTGCACTTGTGCTTCGAAACTGCGCTTAGCCGTGTGTTCACAGGACTTGTGCAGGGCCGCTTTGAAGCAGCTCTGCACTATTCCTCTTTTGATGATCTTGGAGTGGGCAGAATCAAAAGGTAGGAGTCTTTTTTTGGACCGTGGTGCATAAGTCCAGCAAGTGTGCGATTTTTCAAAGGACAGTTGTAAATCTAAAAATTGAAGCTTGCTATTAGTAGGTAACTCATGTGTGAATTTGAGTCCTTGAGCTTGTGTCATGAAACTGTTGCTTATGATGTTGAATGTGGCACAATCATATTGGTCAGGTCCGATGAAAAGTAAAACGAGATAGTCATCGACGTATCTAAAGATACGTGTTACAAGGTTTGTGGGAAGGCTCTGGGCTATTGCCCTGTCACAGGTGGAAAGAAAAATGTCGCATAAGACAGGTGCTACACAGGAGCCAATGCAAATCCCTTTCTTTTGGATGTAAGTACTGCCGCTAAAAGTTACAAAGGTAGATGTGAGGTAGAACCTAAGGAGTTCCATGAAAGATTCGGATGGTATGCCACATTGATTTTGAAATGACACAGTTCCATTAGCCTCTATGCAATCGCTGACTGCTTCCAACATTCTTGCGTGAGGGACCGAGTAGAACAAGTTCTCCACATCAAGGGAGAGTCCAAACTTTACTGTTGAAGCACTTGATTTAAGGTGGTCTATCAGAGATTCTGAGTTTGGAATTAGAAAAGGGTCATAGATGTTGAGGATGTTCAGGTGGCGTAAAAGAAATTGGGACATAGCTCCCTGCCAAGATCCTCGTTCAGTTACTATTACACGAAAAGGGCAACCCTCTTTGTGAGTTTTGGCGGTGAAAAACATTTCCAATTGATCACTTTTAGTAGTGTTTATCTGTTTTCTCAATTGGCTTAGATCTAGCCTGCTGCACAGCTGGAGTGCTTTTGCCTTCACTTTTTTTGGATTCAACCTCTCCAAGCAATTAAAATTCTTGTCTATGGAGAACTGGGCTTTATCAAGGTAAATCTCTCTGGTCGTCACAACAAAACCCCCTTCCTTGTCCGATATTAGAAGATTCAAATTGCTTTCTCGAAAGTGATTGACTATACGAGTGAAATGTATCTTCCTGTCGCTTTGAGGGCCAGCTTTTAGTAGTATTTCCATACAGTCAGAAACGCAACTCTGTCGGTTTTCTTCCTGAGCTTTAGAAGCGATATCATGGACGTTTGACACCATATGTATTCCTTGCTGTACAAAATCAGTACAAAATTTCGGTCCTTTTTCAAGAACACCTCGTATATCATCCGGAAGGGGCTCGCAGCCTAAGAGCGTAACAGACTCGCCTTTCCGCTGCTTCTTAGATGAACGTAGGTATTTTAGATGAGGGATGTAAGAGCCCCAAAGGAATTCAGTCTTTTGCCTGGCTGTAGTCAGGAAGAACCTGTATCTGGTGACGTGTCCATCATTGGGGATGCCGATGCCGGCAAGGGCGCTGAGACAGGACCGATAAAACCGGACCTGTAGCCACATCTCAGACCGCAAAATCCTGCACATCCTCTTGGCGTGTTGCAGTGATGGTCTTGCATTGCCAAACAACGCACAGACGTCTTGTGGAATCACACTGTGTCTACTCGGTCCCTCACGCAAGAATGTTTGAAACAGTCAGCGATTGCATAGAGGCTAATGGAACTGTGTCATTTCAAAATCAATGTGGCGTACCATCCGAATCTTTCATGGAACTCCTTAGGTTCTACCTCACATCTACCTTTGTAACTTTAAGCGGCAGTACTTACATCCAAAAGAAAGGGATTTGCATTGGCTCCTGTGTAGCACCTGTCTTATGCGACATTTTTCTTTCCACCTGTGACAGGGCAATAGCCCAGAGCCTTCCCACAAATCTTGTAACACGTATCTTTAGATACGTCGATGATTATCTCGTTTTACTTTCCATCGGACCTGACCAATATGATTGTGCTACATTCAACATCATAAGCAACAGTTTCATGACACAAGCTCAAGGACTCAAATTCACACATGAGTTACCTAATAATAGCAAGCTTCAATTTTTAGATTTACAACTGTGCTTTGAAAAATCGCACACTTGCTGGACTTATGCACCACGGTCCAAAAAAAGACTCCTACCTTTTGATTCTGCCCACTCCAGGATCATCAAAAGAGGAATAGTGCAGAGCTGCTTCAAAGCGGCCCTGCACAAGTCCTGTGAACACACGGCTAAGCGCAGTTTCGAAGCACAAGTGCAGAGGCTGCAGGATTCTGGATACACCAATTCATTATTGTTTGATGTGGCAGAATGTCTGACAACTCCCAAGGGAAGAGGACAACGAAATTGCAAGAAAACGCAACCGGCAGTGATACCCTACTTCCACAACATATCACACAACTTCAAACGGACAGGCTCAAAGTATGAAGTACCAGTGGTACTTTCAGCTCCAAACAAACTAAAAAAATTGTGTCCTAAGATTAATTCGCAAAACGAAAATAACAACAACTGCACCGTCAAGCATACGCACAAGTACGTCAACTGCAACATCAACGTAGTCTACGAAATTCCATTCACATGTGGAAAAGTCTACGTCGGACAATCTGGGCGCTGCGTGAACGTGAGACTTCGAGAGCATCACCTTTCTCTGAAATCATCACCATCGGGACATCTCGCCATACATGTCCGTGACTGCCACTGCACACCCATATTCCAACAGACTAAGATCCTCAAGCATTACCATAGAAAAGATCCCGAGAACTCTATGAAGCGAAAACCATATTGTCTCTCGGGGGAGCTTGCATAAGCGCACCATCAATAGCGCTGTCCGAGAAAGAGATGAGATACCTCGACCTTTTTCCTTAACGCGGGTCATTTTAGTGTTTTCTAACCTCTTTGCCCTATATTTTTCTGAATTTTTATTACATTTTTTCGCTAGTGTGAAGGGGTAAGATTTAGTTTAAAATTTTTTTAATGCGTCTATTAACCATAACAATAGTTTTTTTTCTTCTTTTTTACCTTCACATACCTAATTCTTCTTTTATGTCTTCCTCGGGGAACGCATTAAACTTCCAGTTGGAGTAAGCGCTCTGTCCTGTCCCCTCTTCTTTTCCTTGGTGTTTGCGCTTTTGAATTTTTATACAATGTGTAGCCAACTAGCCCAACAGTTAATTTTGAGCCACTCTCCCAAACTATCACTCTGAGCAGACAGT